AAATTAGCGGGGATTGATCAAGTGCAAATGTTGTAGGTATTTTACGGATAAGCTTGGAGTATTATAATTGTTCATTAAATTGAAACAGGCGCGTTCGTTTAAGTGAGTGCAAAAGACTGTGAATAAGTTGGGGTACTATAGTCGTTCATTAAGCTAAAACAGGTGATTCCGCCCCGGGCGTTTATGTTCGCGTTAGTGTTTTCTTTGTGTTTAGGTGGGTTTGCGTTAGTGGTTGCGTTTTGATTTGGTTCGTTTTTGTTCTTTCTTTTTTCGTTTTTGTTTGTGTTTTTTCTTTGGGTTTGTATTTGTGTTTTTGGTTGGTTTTGCGTTTGGATTTGGTTTGTTTTCGTTTGCTTTTTTGTTTGTTTTTTCTTTGTTTGTATTGGTGTTTGTGTTTGTGGTTGGGTTTGTTGTTAGGTTTTTGTTTTCTTTTGTATTTGTAATTCACTAATTGTGTTAGCGTTATGTTTGCGTTTTGTTGTTTTGGTTTTGGTTGGTTGTGGTTTGGGTGGGCGATGCCGGGTTTATGATGATTACTAAACACACAGGTAATGGTCTTTAACAGAAAGGTTTTTCACAGAAGCCAGAGCAGGGCCTGGCCGGGACGGCTAGTCCTAATATATAAAACCCCATGTGCGCACTTCTCTCTCTCTCTCTCTCTATCCGCAAAATATTTTCGCCGGATATCACGTCAGAATCTTCAGCGATATATGGAGAACTTGATACGGACTTTTGTTGAAAATAACATGGTAGATGTTTTAAATGTATAACCACAATTTTATTTAAAGAAGAAAAATAAAAAATAAAGGCGTATTCGAATGTAGAAAAAAACAGTTTTAACTATGCAACAGGAAAAGCATTTATAGTTGTGAAAAAAAAATGCATAAAACAGTGACGTCACTAATGTTTATACATTAACTAATGACGTCATCTGCCTTGTTTAGAATAAAAACAAATGAACTATTTCATTCAAATTTGATTTAGATCTACGTACGCTATGAAATGTATACAATACAATTTTTTCAAGCCTAAACTTATAAAATTTATTTTATCTATTTGGATTCTAGATCTAGGTATTCTAGATCTAGATTAGATCTAGATTCTAGACTAGATCTAGATCTAAATCTACGCAAAAACTAGACGTAGACGCTAAGATCTAGTTTTAGACTATCTACTCTAGAATCTATTCCAAAAATGAAATTATCTTTTAAACTATTTCAGGCCTTAATTGTTTTATAGAAATCTTTGTTTGTTTAGCTATGGAACTGGCTAATTTGGGTTACAAAAATTAATTTGAAAGAATAGGCATATTCACGTAAGTTAAGTTTTTTTAGATACCTCTTTCATTCTCCGTGTTATATAAGGTGCATAAATAGCTGAGATGATAGTGTACTTAATACCACGCAAGTGGTGCGCGATGGAGACACACCAAGTCAAACTTAATTTATTTATTTTCATATGTGAATCTTCCGATTTTAGACTAAAAGAAAGGAACTACTTCATTCAAATTTAATTTAGATCTAGATCTATAGATCTACTCATCAAGACATACGCTATGAAATATATACAATTTTATCGGTCAAACTAATACAAATTATTTAAAAACAACGTAATGACTATTGAATAACCAGATTTTTAACGGAATCATTTAAGTCACTTAATCAGTGTGTGCCTGTGTTATGTCAAATGGGTCGGATTTTTAGCTAAGTAGTTATCAGAGGCGTAGCGACCCTTCCCGGCGCCCGGGGACAAACTTTCAATTTGGCGCCCCCCTCCAAATGTTCAATTTGCACGCCCCTCCAACTTTTCGATTTGCACCCCCTCTCAAACTTTCGATTTGCACCCCCCCCCCCTCTCTCGAACTTAAAAAATGCAGCTAAAATGACATTTTAATTTGTTTTTACAACCCATTTTGGCGCCCCCTAAGGTTGGCGCCCGGGGACATATGTACCCCCCCCTCCCCATCGCTACGCCTCTGGTAGTTATTATTTTAGCTTTGTCGCTAATATCGTACAGCGTGTAGTAAAGCATATTGCGTTTTGACCAATAACTATTTCATAAATTATTTTTCTCAAACAAGTACATTTTAAAATATATAGGCCTATAATTCAAGTGAAACGGGTACCGATGGCTTATAGTAGGTTAGAATAGTCTAGAACGCATGGCGTGTGTAAGTGGAGTTAACCCCGAGGTATTTACGTATTGTTATCCCAAGGTCGAGTGTTGGTATAAAAGGGGGGCTTGTTGATAGCGGCTAGTGTCGAAGGCTTGTTGGTAGCGGCTAGGGTCGAGGGCTTGTTGGTAGCGGCTAGGGTCGAGGGCTTGTTGGTAGCGGCTAGTGTCGAGGGCTTGTTGATAGCGGCTAGGATCGAGGGCTTGTTGATAGCGGCTAGGATCGAGGGCTTGTTGGTAGCGGCTAGGATCGAGGGCTTGTTGGTAGCGGCTAGGGTCGAGGGCTTGTTGGTAGCGGCTAGTGTCGAGGGCTTGTGGTGTAATAATAAGGATGACAAGTTAAATAAAGGATTAAACCGTTGTAAATCATTTTCTAGCCGATTAATTTTAATAATTAAAATTGGTATCAAATCAAAGATAAATAAATGTAGTTTTTAATTCTTTAAGTCATTTTGAAAAATTTATGAAATTTTTGTTGACTGCTACTCTATTGTTGATTCTTAAGTAAGCATGTTGGCTGGGACTATATTATGTATTTTTAATTGAAATTGTTACTTGGTTGTTCGTTAAAGGGGTTTAGTTACAAAAGGCCAAGGGGTTAATCTAAGATATTGGGGATGAGCAGGCCGGGGAAATCTAAAATTTAATTAAAATGTTATCGGCTCACTCTGGTCGTTAAGAGCTACGAGCTCTATGCAGGTGCATGAGTGACACCCGCGGTGATTTATGTCGAAAGTTGAGTCCTTGGATGCCGCTAGACGACACGGTGGGATCATTCTTCATGACCTCTGTTGTGGTCAGTTGTAAGGCGCGGCGGGAGCAGTGTTTCTTCCAGACTTTTTTCTCCGGGGGGGGGGGGGGCACTTGAAATCTTCGGGGGGGGGGGGGGGGGCGGTAAACTTTCTTCGGGGGGGGGGGGGGGCGGACACTGTTAAAAGTATATATTTTCTATATAAATTATATAAATTTCATTTCGTTCGGGGGGGCGGTAAAATTTTTTCGGGGGGGGCGAAGAGATGCCTGGAAGAAACTCTGGGCGGGAGTGCCGCGTGGCCGTACGTTAGCTCAAGCGGTGTATGACACGATCGTTAGTCCTGAGACAACGGGAAGATCTATAGCGGTCAATTATCGGGTGTGAAACGCATGGGTGCATAGTGACCGGTGTTATCTCGAACGTCGAGGGACGGTACGGAGGCCGACTCGTGAGCCTATAGCTCTGTGGAGATGATAAAGGGGGGGGGGGGGGCAAGACTAGCCTATATACGAGGAAGGGTGGCTATGGTGAGGACACACACACAAAGCTGGGCTACTCAGATGGTGGCAGCTTTTAGGGCTGGCCGCGAAGGCTGGCATATTGGCACAGCCGATGTTTTGTTACTGTGGCCTGGTGTTCCTATACATATGTGCTTCGTTCCAGATATTTACATCTGTGACCAGATGTTTATACATGTGGCCAATGTTGTACCAGTGGCCAAACGTTTTGATTCTGTAAATAGGCGCTTCGTTCCAGTGGCCATTATCTTTGTGGCCCGATGTTTGTACCAGTGGCCAAATGTTTTATTTCGGTGGCTGGAAATCTCCATGCCGCGTGAGTGTCGAGCTAGATTGTTGTGAGTACTGATGAGTATTCATAGAAGGATTCAAACCGTGTTTGCTTAGTGGAATCAAAACTAGCGATGATAACATTTACACGTGCGATTCTGAGATTACATAGCAGTGTAAGTAGTAAAATTAGTAGGCCTACTAGTAATAATAACATTTGCATGTGTGATTCTGAGATTACCTAAGCAGAGCAAGTAGTGTAGGACTTGAGAAAATGACATTTACCTGTGTGAATTTTGAGTTGTGTAATTGCTGGTTTACTATTCACACATGTGTTTTTTTTAATGTTATGTCAGTAACCAAGGTGAATAATTCTGCATTGAAATGTAAGTTTGATTATTTTTGTCTTTTTTTTTTACTGGTATTAGAAATTCAAGTGATGTTATCTTGAATATGAAAGACATGCCATATCTTATTTGTATTCTTTGTTTTGCTTTTAAAATATAAACCTTTGTGACGTCAAATGAAGATAAAGAAATGTATAAACTGTGTGTGTTACTAAGTTTTATTTTTAGTTTAATATTAATGTTGTATTAGTGTGAAGTAATTATTTTGCTCAGGTCTGGTAAACCTCCTTGTACCAACGAGGATGCACGGATGTTGAGAGAATAAAGACCATCACCATCTCTCTATCGGTATACAACCGATCCCTTACCCCTCCCCCTAAAATTTGTGGGTACATAAGTGGGGTACTCAGTTTCGGGTTCACAACGACCCCCTTACATTTTTGGTATCAGGAGAGGGATCCCTTCACACTCCCCTGGTACCCCCCTAACATTTTTGGTGTCAGAAGTGAGATCTGAGATCTCTTTCTCGACGAACCCCTAACATATACAATCTTAGGTGCCGGCCTGATAGTAGTTGTTCTTGTCCACATATTGTTTACTTAAGTGAACTATTCTTACAAAAGTTTCTGCCAGAAAATAAATAAACTACCATCAATTACCTAGGTAACTGTATAACAGAAAATAAAGAAACTGACACCAACAGATAAGGTGGTTCATTAACAGAAAATAAACAAAGTCTCACCAAACCAAACCCAGCTAATTATGAATATTTAACAGATTAAAGCTACAATTTTAAAAAAAGAACATGGCTTCACACATAGCGAATCGTGAGCATTCTTAATATTAAAAAAAATCTGTAGCAAGTATTTCTTAACTTCTATTTGGCAGGCTAGGAGTGAACAAGATAAACACATTCATTCATTTATAAAATAGAATACG